TACTATTAGTCTTCTGCGTCAATTTCCCTTTGCTTCTGAATGTGATAGCTTTTCTTCAATCTTCAATCGTTCTAAACGTGACTTTTTCTCCGATCCTTCTTCGCATTTACTATAACCATGGGTATTCCGTGAGTATCTATCTCCCCAGTTGGCCGTCAATACTTTACGCGCCCTGCTCCATTAGGCTAAAGCGCCCGGGACAATTGTCTTGACTGACTGGTAATGATATAGGATGTTCCGGGAGCCTTCCCCGACCGAAGACACGAGAAATCACGCTGCCAAAGATAGCTGCGCTGCCGCACGCTCTGCGATTCGTCGCCAGGTCAGCGTTCGCCGCCCTTCGCGCTATGGCTCTGTCCTGCGCAATGCAACTTTACGAACGATTTCCCCACGAACCCTGACAGAGGAGATTGAGCGCGAGCGGGAACGCGAGCGCGACTCGAATAACCCACAGCGCCATGGTCGCTCGCCTATCATCCCTCGGGCGCTGGCGTTAGCAGACGAGGTCGAACGCGCACGCGAGCGCGAGGCGAACGGCATACAGCGTCATGTTCGCTCGCCTCTTTCGAATGCTACTGCCGCCGAAGATCCGTTCAACCTCACCAGTGGATTTCTAGACCCCCTACGAGCTCGGAACGCACGCCGCAATGAACAGCGGCGGCTCGATAACGCTCTTCAGCAAGGCCGCTCGGGTCAACAACGCCTGAGGATACCGCGCAATTCGATCATGTCCGACTTTCAGCGCCCCGCTTCTCCCGGTCTAGATACCAACAACAGGCAGGATCAGGATCACCCTCAATTCACGCCTCGCTTTGCCCCTGCAGTCGCATACCACGGGAGCGCTTCTCCACATGCGCGACGAGATGCTCTCCACCTGTCGCCCTTCCCCCTGCCTGATGGCCTGGGCCCAGATTTGTCTGCGACACTTGCTTTTCCTTCCTTGCGTCGTGTTGGTCAGCGGTCCATCAATGATGCCAGTCGTTCAAATCAGGAATCACTTATAGACGGTCTAGGCGATCGCCAAAGGAGCCTCAGCCCTGATGATGACCACGCCAACGATGCATGGGAAACACTTTTGACAACGATCACGCCTGACACAAATCTCCCAAGTGCTGATTCATCATTCAATTCAACATCAGCGCCCGGAACGAACGTTCCTGTCAACGGAGCAATGAGGAGCACCGCCGCCGGAATGCGGCCCGTTTCAAACTCAACGTACTCGGGTCCTGGCACAATGGAGATAGTTCTTGATCCATATTCAGAATACTTGAATCCATGTGACTTCCCGCCGAGTGCTACCGATTCCGAAAGCGACTCAGAATCTGAGACTTCGCATTCCCTGATTCGGCGCTACCGTGCTGTTCGTCAACTTGAGTCTTTGAGGCGAGCTGTGGACTTTCAAGGGGCCATGATACGCTCCCAGGGGACCGCAAGACGAGCACCCGAAGTTCAGTCAACTATGAGTAGCCAACCTCCGATACCCACTGTGTCGTTTGCCTTTTCCGATTCTTCTACCGACCAAGACTTGCATCAGGTTCAGGCCGTACTGGACCGTCTCACAAGCCGGCAGGACCTTCCTGACGATTTTTGGGCGTCCGTTGGATTGTCTCGCAATTTCGGTCAGCGTGAAAATGACGAGCCAAACGAGGAGCCAAACGTCGCCGACACAATCGACGGACCGATTAGTCGTAGCTAAACAGCAGCCCCCTTCATTCGTATTTTCCCCATCTGTTTTATTTTGGTTGTGGAACTTTGATAGACAATATCTGTTATGCTTCACTCAAGATACCGGGCAACGCGCAGACTTCAATGGTTGAGTTTCTCTTTAGCGGGGATGATGGGCGTTAGCGGTGTGTTCTGATACTCTTTTCCATCAAGGGCGGCGGGCACCACCTGATACGGAAATAATCTTCTCCATACATACTTGTTTTGTTTTCTCTGTTCTGATAACTCAGATACCTTCTATTGATATACTCCCAATTGCTAAAAGTCCCTATATGTCCTAAAGAGATTTTATAACCATAATTATCAACAATTCGCCTGCTTAGAGAATCAGCACGCCGCCCTGAATTTCAGGCAAGCATCATAGAGATCAATCCCTCCCTCTTTGTGATGCTTGTGATGACTGAATTGAACCTACGACAGGACATATTCTCAGGTAGATATAAACTAATTACCTTCACGGTACTCCGTACTCCATACGCGGTTGCTGCTCCCCTGTGACGTGACGTATCATTACTCCGGAGTAAAGGCGATAGCGAGCCCCCACTCTGACGACAAGCCCCGCAGACTTATTTATCTCAATGAATCGCCGAGCTTCCACCGCTCATGCAGACCTTCATCATCCACCTCGCTCGCGCATTATATTGTACAGCTACCAGAATCCCAGTACAGTCACTTCAAGCCCCTTAGATCGCACTTGGGACCTCTACAGTGCACCCCTTAAGACAACCTCAATCTGCGACCACACAATCCTCGGCGCAAACAAACAGTTCCAACCTTTGCATGGACGGGACCACGGTTATCGGTGCATTGTCCCAATAATAATCCAGTCTAGTCAAATTCTCGTGTGTGTTATCTCCTAGTCCACAGATTCTATTCCATCATGGAAAAACAAGTCGATCGATTAGTCGACAAGATCTGGAGTGAGTGTTAACCCCCCCCCCATGCGGACGAACAAGCGGTGTCTTTTTGTGTCCGACGAGCCCCAGGATCCTCCTCGGTAGCTAATGCCTCGAGCCACAGACAAATTCCAGTCCACACCGGATGATGCCCGACTGTTGATCGCCGTCAGTGGGATTCCCGGGTCCGGCAAGACAGAGCTGGCTACGATGATGGCCAACCGCATCAATCAACGATACTCCGCGCAACATCCAGACTCACCGCTTATCGCAACCACCGTCCCGATGGACGGCTATCACCTCACACGCGCTCAGCTAGCCGCCATGCCTGATCCCGCGTACGCGGCTGCCCGCCGTGGCGCCGCATTCACCTTCGACGGGGAGAAGTTCCTCAAGCTCGTGCAGGCGCTGCGGGAAGAGGTTACACCCCAGACACGAAGTCTGTACGCTCCGAGCTTTGACCACGCGGTCAAGGATCCCGTGGATGACGACATCACTATTCCGGCCACCTGCCGGGTGATCTTCTTCGAGGGCAACTACCTCAGTCTGAATAAGGCGCCGTGGAGCACGGCGGCGGAACTAATGGATGAGCTTTGGTTTGTGGAGGTCGACTTCGCGGTCGCTCGAAGGAGGTTGATTCGACGACACGTCAAGGCGGGCATCGCGAAGGACGAAGCCGATGCAGACAAACGAGTAACGGAGAACGACTTGGTCAATGGAAAGGAGATCGTGGATTGCAGGATGGATCTGCAGGAAATCATTAATAGTGAATTTGACCCTGCGTGGGAGAGGTAGAGCAAGGGGGTTTTTGAAGGGCATAGAACCATGATCACCAGACTGGTTAGAGGCTTATGAACCGCCCTGATCTCATATGGTGATTCGCATCACTAGATGAAAGCTTCATATACATACTTCGCCTTTTCTCTGATGTTTGCGCAATCGCGGGGTATTGATCTCCCGTTGTCTTTTCTGATAGACTAGCTACGAATGCATTCGCTGATTATTTGGTTGCTCGAGTTCTTCTAGGCCTCATACAAGGATATATTGTGACCTAGAGCTTGCTCCATGCTTGTCTTTATTCCCAACAGAGCTCAGCGTGATTAGCTATAGCAGGTACAAAACAGGAACGCATATTGTGCGTCAAAGGGCTGTGCTTGGGCCTCATCGACAATACCGTAATGTCACTGTGTTCGGTTGATCCACGGGATAGTTTCGTAGCCCAGACCAGAGCAAATTGCCGATACAAGACATGTAACAGTTTGATTGGCCCATATTACCCGAAAACAAGTACAAAAAGAATCACCTTTGCTCTGAGACTATAGGTATAGAGGGCTTCACAACAGGTTAATTATGACTCAGCAGGAGGCAGCTAGAGTTGCTGTGAGATATGTATGTGGCGACTACATCACATCAACCGGACGTTTCCTTAATCAACTTTACATCATTTCACTGTCGACTCTGAGCTCTCGAGCACTGGATTCGAATTTCTATTGGGCAGAGGTTTCTCCAAGAATTGACTACAAGCCAACAGTGAGTCGGGGGATGGCAGCACAAAGAGGGGCCAAATGCGGGAGTATAGGCGCTGAACTTATACACGGAGGGTATACTCTATCCAAGATACTGAGCACTGTGACAATGCTATAGACTTTAGCTACGTACTCCTAGTCGACTCATCCTGTGCGCGCGAAGTAACGAGGAAAGCTTGCACTATTATTCCCAAACAGCATAGTGTCCAGCTTGCCTAACATTATGATAATCCTCACATGAAAGACCAACTTCAAAGTCGCTACATAGCCGCTGATAAGTACAGCGGAACTTCCTTCCAGAGAAAGTGCATTGCCCGATATGTCTTTGCGGAGGTTTCACAGATATTTGCCTGCGGGCCTCAGCTTGAAAGATGAGAATGCTGATACTGGTGCCCGAAAAGGTCTGACATAAAGAGCGCGAATTCCTGTCTGAAAGTCATATGTACTTCTAAGCATTGTCTTCGTTTTTAGCTAGTTACACTATGTAAATGTTACACACAAGATGCCCGTGTTAGTTAGAGCAAAGAAGGGATACCATGGCTCCGCATACCCACAATTGCCGCGAGCCCTCGATCCGCAGCTTAAGGATATATTCACCTTTGCGGTCGTTCAGAAACCAAGCAACGTTCGTTAAGTGGTAATCATGTTTCCTGATTGATGCCGGCAATGGGTTCCTGGTGGTTAGCCTTACTTGTCCTAGTGGTTCCACTGCTGGCCTAAGCCCTTGCGGCAGCTAACCGTTTCAGTCTTAGTAATGTATGACCCCAGTTTTGTGGTTGATCGACGGGGACAATTCTGTAACTAGGAATGGGGGGTCGTTGTTCCCTGTTGAACTTGGGGAATTCTTGACCTCTGAATTCCTCATTCTCGATGTCTTTGAGTCTCATCACCAGACACCTCAGCATCACTATCTGTCGCTTCCTCAGATCCCAACACACTCTTTTCTTCTACTTTGAATTTTGTCCCTGAGAAACCACATCCTATCCACGCCTGCTTCCCTACTAAACACGGCCTCCGTCTTCTTGAAGTATTGATAGACTGGTGAATAGTGTTACTCCAATCGCGCCTGAGATGTTGCTATTCAAACCCGCTTTTTGCGCTGTTTGCGCCTTTGTTTGGGCCTTCAGTAGCCTTGTCGCTGCTGTTCCAACCCGTGATTGTCTTCTGTTTGCTGTAGGGTAAGTGCGCCTAGTATGAGTAGTATCTCTGATAGTTATCGAGATTGCTGGGTCGAAATCACGCTGAAGTACCTGCTAACAATTCGAATACAGCTCTCAGTCCATTCCGGATGACCTCCAGGCCATATGTGTCACCAATGGCAAACAAATCAAGGACAAAATCTCAAACCTCTGTGGTGACGATACCAAGGTGGCTATGCAGCAGTTCTCGGATATATGTGCCTCAGCTGGATACAAGGGTGGTATGTTGGATGAAAAGTTGCTGCGCAGTCATATACTGGATCCACTGACTTAGTGTAGTGAACGATATATTTACCATTTCTGGTGTCTCATCATCAACTGCTGTTGCCGACCCCACAAGAACCGGTTATGGCATTGTCACCCCAACCGGCTCGTCTAGCATTATATTAGTGCCCAGTTCGAGTCCAACTCCCAGCTCTAGCCCGAGCCCATCACCAAGTGCTCACCCCAGCGGGATAATTTCAGCCGGTTCATCAGACCGTCATGTTCCTGCTGCAGCATTCGCAGCTGTTGTTTTCTTTGGAGTCGCGGCGGCACTGTAGTCTTTCTCAGCTGCTGCTGCCAACCCCGGATTCATTGCTTCTAGTTCTCAACCTTGTTATTATATGTTTGAACCTAAGACCTTGTACCATACTTTACCGTAGAATTGATGTACCCGGAGTATTACTCGATGGTGCAAACCAATTTTTCGGTGTCCTAAAGGGGAATTCCAAGGAACCCGATGGATGGCGACGGAGAAATCTTCTAAGCTAGCTTCCCAAAATCTTACCAAGCAGTGCGGCGGTCTAGCTTTGGTGGGTAAATTGATAAGATCGTTTGGTGCAGTAGTTCAGTTAGTTATTGAAACGCGAAGCTGATTTGTAAGATGTAAGACCCAGTCGGCTCTTCCAAGTTAACGTGGCGTGAGAAACTCAGCAACAACAACACGTGACTTCGGGGCGTCGCGCGTCTCCGGCAGCCGGAGCAAAAGGAACTGCTAGCGCCAATGCAAGGGCCGCCCATTTAGCTCAAACACGAAAATTCGCGTTGATTTCCACCAGCAACGCGTTTGCCCCGGCGACGTCAAATATCTACCACTCTCGCTGCCCCTCCTCCCTCTTTCTCTTTCTTCTCATCCTCCACGCTCCTGTCTTCAGGACCATTTTCTTCTGTCTCTTTTCCCTTTACGAAAATTGTCATCTTCACGCCTCTTGACATACGATTTACTGATCTTTTATTTCTGTAATTCCACTTTTCTTCTTATACCCATCCTGTCATAATCTTCGATTCTACGCATTCCCCAGCCATTCCCTGCCATTCAAAATGTTTGTCTACAAGAGAGGTGAGCATCAAGCCCTACACCGTCAACCCATAGCGTCATGGATCCCTACTTTGCATCCAAATCCGCTTCGAAATGTTCCTGTTGAAGGTCGTTGCCACCCGTGTTGCAAAATTTGCTAACGACACGTTGAACCGCAGACGGACGCAAAGAACGCGTGCAGTTCGACAAGATTACCGCTCGTGTGTCGAGGCTCTGTTATGGACTCGACCCTGAGCATGTCGACGCTGCTGCTATCACCCAGAAGGTCATCTCTGGTGTCTACCAGGGTGTCACCACCGTCGAACTCGACAACCTGGTATGTGGAGATCACTAGGTGCTTGACGATCGAGTTCTGACTTTGCTTGCAGGCCGCCGAGACTGCCGCGTACATGACCGTCACACATCCCGATTACGCTATCCTCGCTGCTCGTATAGCAGTTTCCAACCTTCACAAGCAAACCAAGAAGCAGTTCTCGCTGGTTATCTCTGACCTCTACCACTATGTCAACCCCAAGAACAACACTCCCGCACCCATGATTTCCCAAGAGACGTACGAATTAGTCATGAAGCACGCAGATGAGCTCAACTCGGCTATCGTTTATGACCGTGATTTCAACTACAACTTCTTCGGCTTCAAAACTCTTGAACGGTCATACCTTCTGCGCATCAATGGAAAGGTTGCAGAGCGCCCTCAGCACCTGTTGATGCGTGTGTCCGTCGGTATTCACGGCAACGACATCGAGAAGGCTATCGAGACCTACCATCTCATGTCTCAGAAGTTCTTCACGCACGCCTCCCCGACTCTATTCAATGCTGGTACTCCCCAGCCTCAACTTGCCTCATGCTTCCTCGTCGATATGAAGGAGGATAGCATTGATGGTATCTATGACACACTCAAGACCTGCGCCATGATCTCCAAGACCGCTGGTGGTATCGGTCTGAACGTCCACCGCATTCGTGCCACCGGCTCCTATATTGGTGGAACCAACGGTACCTCTAATGGTCTGGTTCCCATGCTGCGGGTCTTCAACAACACTGCCAGATACGTTGATCAGGGAGGCAACAAGCGCCCGGGTGCTTTTGCTATCTACCTGGAGCCCTGGCACTCGGATGTCTTCGAGTTCCTGGACCTCCGCAAGAACCATGGTAAGGAGGAAGTTAGAGCTCGTGACCTGTTCTATGCCTTGTGGACCCCCGATTTGTTCATGAAGCGTGTTGAGTCCAACGGCGACTGGACTCTGTTCTGTCCTAACGAGGCTCCTGGTCTGGCCGATGTCTACGGCGACGAGTTCGATGCTCTTTATGAAAAGTGAGTTTCCTGTTTGGAGCCTACTTGCTAGCCCTTTCTAACAGGACTATAGGTATGAGAAGGAAGGTCGCGGCCGCAAGACCATCAAGGCGCAGAAGCTCTGGTATGCTATTCTGGAGGCTCAGACCGAGACTGGCAACCCCTTCATGCTTTACAAGGATGCATGCAACAAGAAGAGCAACCAGAAGAACTTGGGAACCATCCGCAGCTCCAACCTTTGCACCGAGATCATCGAATACAGCGCTCCCGATGAGGTTGCTGTCTGTAACCTGGCTTCTCTTGCCCTCCCTACTTTCGTTGATGCCGCTCGCGGCGAATACGACTTCGGCAAGCTTCATGAAGTCGTGCAGGTCTTGGTCCGTAACTTGAACAAGATCATTGACATCAACTACTACCCTGTTCCTGAGGCCAAGAAGAGCAACTTCCGCCACCGTCCCATTGCTCTTGGTGTCAACGGTCTGGCCGATGCTTTCCTCGCTTTGCGTCTGCCTTTTGACTCGGCTGAGGCTAGACAGCTCAACATTCAGATCTTTGAGACCATCTACCACGGTGCTCTGACTGCCTCCTCTGAGTTGGCTAAGCAGCACGGTCCCTACGAGACCTACGAGGGCTCTCCCGTCTCTCAGGGTATCCTCCAGTACGACATGTGGGACCGCACTCCCACTGATTTGTGGGACTGGGACGCTCTCAAGGCCAAGATTGCGCAGACTGGTGTTCGCAACAGTTTGCTGGTTGCCCCCATGCCTACTGCTAGCACCAGTCAGATTCTGGGCTTCAACGAGTGCTTCGAGCCCTACACCTCGAACATCTACTCTCGTCGTGTCCTGGCGGGTGAGTTCCAGGTGGTCAACCCTTGGTTGCTCAAGGACTTGGTTGACCTCGGTCTGTGGTCCGACAACATGAAGAACCGCATCATCGCCGACGGCGGCTCCGTCCAGAACATCCCCAACATTCCCGCCGATATCAAGGCTCTCTACAAGACTGTTTGGGAGATCTCTCAGCGCAACATCCTGCAGATGGCTGCTGACCGTGGTGCCTTCATTGACCAATCCCAATCCCTCAACATCCACTTGAAGGAGCCCACCATGGGCAAGATCACCAGCATGCACTTCGCTGGCTGGAAGATGGGTCTCAAGACCGGTATGTACTACCTGCGGACAATGGCGGCCTCGGCCCCCATTCAGTTCACGGTGGACCAGGAACAGCTCAAGGTTGAGGACACCAACGTTGCTCGTGCCAACTCCTCTTTCAAGAAGCGTGCCACCGGTGCTGCCTCCTCCACTTACTCTGCCGTGCCTCGCGGTCAGAGCCAGATCAATGGGCACAGCGAGGATGTCAACAACGGTGCTGACAGCCCCCGTGCTCTCGCTGCCGATGCCACTTCCCGTGGCAATGAGGGTGAGGCGGAGGGACCTCAGGAAGAGGATTCCGAGAAGACGAGCGAGGAGCGCGAGAATGATATCTACTCCCAAGCGGTGCTCCAGTGCAGCATCGAGAACAAGGAGGCCTGCATCATGTGCCAGGGTTAAGGAAACAAACGATGAAGGTTATAATGCGGTCGGCGTCTTGCTTTGGGACATTTGTGTGTAATTATATTACGGGTTTGATGGATATGGATTTTCTTTTCTGATTACCTGCTGGGCTTTCAAATGTATTTACGGGCTTTGTGAATTTCTTTTCTTGTTTGACATTGACATTGATGGCTTATGGCGATGATCTTGATATACATAGATAACAATTTACTTTCTTCTTTTATGATGCTTATATTTTCAGGTACGGCGTTTCAATAATTTCGCCGAGCTTCTCCATTATATCACTTGCTTGAAGTATGGGAGAAAGAGACCAGCGTGAACCCGATCTCGGGTTAGATGAGGTTTATCACAATTAGTCAGTCCTTCCTGAATCCCTGTGGAACGAAGTCTCCCTCGAGATATTCCTTAGCAGAGACCCCGGAATACATCTCGCTGCCCTGATTCTGGGTCTCGCCCTTGTGGCCCTGGTTACTACCGCTGTTGCTGCTGCTGTTGATCTCCCCATGTCGCATTCTTGATTCCGATCTCACCGTTAGCTTAGAAATGCCCTCTAGCCAGCCAGCCAGCATCGCGCGCGCGCGACGACAATCCAGGGAACTCGAAGAAATGGACTGGAAGCCATCTAACCACTTGGCCTACCTCTCTCTTCATGCATTCGCCACCTAGCCTCTTCACGCTTGTGGTTTTCGAGTACCATTGTCATCGCAGACGCTATTCTGAAGGGGTGGTGAGATGTCCGGGCTAGCGGATGTTTCCATGCGAAGACCGGTGAAACTCGGAGGGATAAGGGGAGAGTGCCATACATGTCTGTATGCTTCTGAGGCGAATTTGGGGGTTGAGTACTTTTTTTCTTTTTTTTTTTTCCTTTCCCCCCCTTTGGGAATTGTGTGTGAGAGAAGGTTGCTGACAAATGGAGCGATGGCATTTTTCGCAGAGACCATCCATCCCACTGCTTGCCTCTATTTATGTTCCCCCAATGAATAAGCAGTTGGTTCAGGAAATCCCCAGCCCATGATGATGTCCTCGAGAAGGGCCGCGATGTTTCATCGACTGATCGTTGGAAAATGGTCTAGCCCACTATCTGACGTCCGTGTGAGAGAGAAACTCGGTGGCTTGAGGACGCGTCGCATCCGGTTTCAACGCTTAGGTTTGGATTGAGGGTTGAAGCTTCATGGGGGTTAAGTTATAGGTTCCGTCTTCGGATGTCTCTTGCACGGCGAGAACCGTGGTTGGAGCGGGGATGACATGTTCAACCTTGGATTGTGGGGGAGGACTTATATGAACTTCGAATGGTACTTTCTTTCTTGGTTTAAGGAGGAGGAGGTGTGTGGTTTTATGTGTCAATTGGAAGAGGTCGGTAAGAGTATGTTTTGCATAGTTGCAGTATGCTACAGCCGCTGCGAGCGTGGTAGTCAATGCGAGTAGCCCATATAGTAGTATGACAGATTATAGTAGATACCGCTCAGCCCGAGTCTCCGCCTATATACTCCATAAGTCTTGTAGTCCCACCCCCCTTAGTCATGTTTCTGGAACAGGTAGGCCAGTGGAATGTACAGCATCACGCATACTAGAACGTATTTGATCAAGTGATTGACCAGCAGGACGTAGAAGGTCGAGGCTTAGTTGACGGCCGGAGATGCTGGAAAGAGTGGTTGCTGCTCCGGAATATAGAGACAAGCTGCCTCCTGTAACGATTGCCCGAAACACCTGCTCATGCTCGGTGACAGGTACACGAAAGCACACGCTTTTTATACTACATGTATGGGCTATATCGCATCGATGGAAATTGACATCCCAAGGCTGGCGATGCCGTTCGTCGACCATTCTTAGACGGAGCGCCAAAGGCTTACAAGGTTTGTTGATCCCGTAGTAGGTCCAGTACAGCCGCGCGCGCACTGCTTGCCGGAATCCGGCGAATGAATTACATTGTCGCTGGTCTATCACTATAACAGGTGCCTGGGTAGTATGCCCAGTGCACTAAGCGACACTACTGAAGGTAGGGTGGGATGGCCCGGCGCTTCGGATCGCGACCAGACCCGGAGCGGCGGCGCCTAACGCTGGTATCCTGCTGTCTCGCCCTCCGCCTCAACCACACCCCGGAATCATGTTTGTTCCTGAATGCTTAACTCGAAACTATCTTCGGCTGGTGCAGCCGATGGGGATATGGGGGGTGCACTTTGTCACGTCTGAAGATGGACAGCATTAGGCCTGGAAAACGGGGGCCTGTCGTTCAACATGGGCGCCATTACTCGATAAAAATCTCCAGCTTATGTGGCTGGTCATTCCACACCAGAGGCTGTCGAATAAACCCGTTCGAGTTGAGCTGTTTAGTAAGCTGGAACACACTTTCAATCGCGCCTCGAAATCATGAGACCAGTTCTTGGCCACAGATCGAAACATGCGACCTTCGAAAAGATTCTGTCAGCGCGCTGAACCACTGTTGAGAGAATAAATCACAAGGAGATCTACGTAGGGGAAGGCATTCCCCGTGAGTTCCAAGCGTGTACCAGGAGATACAGAGGTGACCTGAAGCGTGCACTTTGAGCTCTTGTACATCTATCATTCTCAGGAGTCCTGCTTCGATAGCATACCAATGTACGTGGACCAAAAGAAACACATCCTGTCGTCGACAGACCCCGAAAGAAGTCCGCTAGCGAAATTGAACAAGTAAGTACCTCTGCATCAACACTGCCACTTCCTGCGTTGGGGAAGAAACCCTCCATAGGATCCCTCACCCAGCCCCAACGTTGGTACCATCCCGCAAGCGAGATCCTCGCGGGGGGCCAACTGTCGCAATTGAACCCATTCCACTGACCTTGGCCTGTCATGGAATGGGCCGGGCCGTGGTCCACGGAGGTGGCCGTTTCCCATTGAAAGGGTGCGGAAATCGAGCGTGATGCCTGTGTAGCCCTTCTCCTCCAGTGATGGGTGAAACAATGCTGATGGCATCCAATGGGGATGTTTGAATCATTCCGTCTCTCGGTTGGATGGATATATCCCTGGTTGTCAGATGTAAACATAACTCAACTCAAACAGCAGCTCCGGTTTCATCAGCGCCCAAGCCAACTCTCGTTAAATCCCCGGTGCTGAGACAGCTGTTGGTCGTACGTGCGCAGGTACGGATTTGTGGCTGGCACACGGGGCTCATGTCCGTTGTGTAACTATAGATAATAGAGCGCAGCAGCTGCTGGAAGGATAGCTTAAGGATTCAGCGGGTTTTCCCGCTTGGTGGTTGGTAGACCAGCCAACAGCCATAGCTCTGGTTCATGTGTTGGCACTAGGCTGCTGAGAAGCTCCTTCGAAGCTGTCCGAGTTGGGTGAGGGATCTCGAGATCGAAATGATGACAAGGAGCTTAGCTCTTTCCTGAAGACGAGACGGTCAGGTACCATCTAACCCAATCTCTGGAGGTATGAGGGGGGGGGGGGGTTGTAGCATGTTGTGGGGGCTAGTCGTTTGAGCTCCCGTTTGAGCGGTGTTGGATGGATGAATGATGATGACGACGATGAAGCGGATGTACAGTGGCATACTGTACAGTACTTACTCACATAGCACAGAAGCGAGGTACCCCATACTTCTGCTGCAAACAGGGCTACGCTGTCGTACAGGGACAAAGAGACCTGACTTGATCCCAAGAACATCGCCCCGCCGTAAGCGAGGAGACCGCCCGCCGGGCAGATGGACAGACAGCCGGGGAATGCGGAAGAAATTGACCATGCTGCAGATTCACCGTCTCCCGGGTCGGAGGAATTGTGCGGTGTGAATGACTACCGGGTGTGAATCGATAGAATATGCTCCGATGGTGAGGGGGCACCTAGAATGCTCTGCAGATGCGATACATGTCATGGGCGGAGGCAGGCTTGATGTCACTGTGCAGGTGTCCGGATTGTTGATTCTCAATTGATCGGTAGGATCGGATAGATTATGTACTGTACTGTACATTGTAGACACTGTAGAGTAGCTGTATGATTCATACCTACTGAGCATGTACAGAGTACAGTGAGTAACTACTAAGAATGCAATGGTTGACTAAGGGTATTGAGGTATTGACCGGTCGGGATCAGAGATCAATCAGGGATCAGGGTCTGGACCGAGCGCTGGGTGTTTGTGTGTGTGTCTGTTCAACCCGTTGACTCCATCAGCCCATGTGGCGTCTCAGAACTCCATTGCCAAGTTTCGTATTCCCACTGCCACTGAACATGAAAGAATTGAAAGGATTCCTCTCTATGGATGATTACATCGACACTCTTCTTGTTCACCGGTCTAGATCGGCTGAATCTGGCAAGTTTTAACAGGAATCTTGAAGGCGACTGCATCCCCTCCAATCGGCCTTGCTGGAAGGCCCGACACAACAGAAAATTCTCGTAGTGGGGCAGAGACGAGGGCCAAAAAGCACTCAGAAGAGGGGAAGATGCAGCCCTGGACAGATGAAATCATGAAAGCCCTCCGAGAAGAGGGGAAAGCATCCGCAATTGGACTCATCTGGCCGCCTTAGTGGTCGCGTTGCCCGCCCTCACTGGCTGCGCGCTGCGATGGAGTCCCCAAGACTCGGAGGGTCGCGGACACGTCGACACCGCACGGTCGACTCCTCCATAGGCTACGTTCCTGAGATGGTGGAATCTACCAGGATCCATCCATGGTGTTTTCGCCACCGAGTGGGAGGAGGAGGAGGAGGAGGAGGAAGAGGAGGAGGAAGAGGAAGAGAAAAAAGTTTAGTTGTGAAAGACAGGATTGAAAGAGGTTGATTGAAGAG